TCTTAAATCATAATGCCCTGGAGCTCCTGATTCACTGAATCCATTGTAGGGCTTGGGAGGGTCGACATCCAAGTGAGGGTCCTTATGACTAGAGGCAAGTGGCAGAAGCACAGAACTCAGGGTGCCTCATGGGTTCTGGCGTGACTTCAGCAGTTACCTTCTCCAGAGTCCAGGAACAAAGCCATACTTCCCTGCTCTTCCTTCCTCGCAGCAGAGACCAGAGAGGACCCAGAGATTGCATCTGAAGCCTGAGCTTTTCCCATGCACATGAAGAAACACTAGCTTCCTCCAACACAGTGGTTAAAAGCACAGTCTCTAGACTAGCAACAGCAGCACCTGAGAGTGTATTAGAAATGCATTCTTGGGCCCTACTCCATATCCAGAAATTCTGGAGGTGGGGACTTCCCTGGTGGTCCAGTGGTTAAGAATCTGCCTTCCATTGCAGGGGATGCAGGTTCCATCCCTGGTCAGGGAACTAAGATGCCCCATGTTGTGGCAACTAAGCCTGAGTGAAACAATTAGCCTGCGTGCTGCATTGAAGACCCAGTGCAGCCAAAAAAAAAAAAAAAAAATTTATATATATATATATATAAAGTTCTGGAGGTTGGGCTCAGCCTTCTGGGTTTGAACAAACCCTTCAGGTGATTCTCATGCTTGCTAAAGTTTGACAGCCATTGCCTTATCCTCAGCTGTCCTCGTGGCTATGAAAAGGGTTAAGAAGAAGATATCCAGAAAGATCAAATATTTATCTAAAACAAAGCTTTAAAATATCCTTCAACCAAGATCAAATCTCCCTTGAATTCCTCTCTTGGGTTCTCAATATAACCAGAAAATGAATAAGAAACTTTTGTTCACTTGCTGAGAAATAGAAAAATCTACAGTTTTGCCACCTTAATTATAGCAGATAACTCTTTATCTCCCCATTATAATTTCCCAGTAATATTCAATATGAATTAATTGAAATTTATATTAATTTCTTGGGTATCATCAACAAAACTGTTAGCAGAAACGCCCCAGGATTGGTCAGTTTCACTACGAAGTCTGCCCTTCAGTAGGATTTTGATCAGATCAGAAAGAGCAAACGCCTAGACCAAAGGTCCTTAAGTTCACGGCAGGATAAAATGTTCTGCTTTGGGAAAGGGATCATGTCAGTCTTTACTGTGTGGCAACTGAAGGGCCTTTGATAGTGCCTTGTCCTTTGTAGATGCTCAATATGGATTTGGTAAATTAATGGATGGAGAATCCATGTGGGTCCTAAAGCTTGAGAATGCCTTCTGGAAGAGGTGATGCATGACTTGGATAGAAAAGAGTGAATAGAGAAAGAGTGAAGGCATTTTAGGTGGGAAGAGAAAGGGATACATAATGGGCTGAGCAAAAGCTTGGAGCTCGGTCTAAATGAGAGTCTGGGACTAAGTGGATGGCATTGGAGAAAAAGCAGCCTTCACAGGAGGTGACAAAATATGAATGAGGTAGTGAGTTAAGTGAGCTCTCATCCTCCGATATGTTCCCTGTGGGCACACAATGGAGGATAAGATAAATGTGGCCCCTGAATCTTCCCTGGTAGCTCAGTTGGTAAAGAATCTGCCTGCAGTGCAGGAGACCCAGGTTCAATCTCTGGGTGGGAAGGATCCCCTCGAGAAGGAAATAGCAACCCACTCCAGTATTCTTGCCTGGAGAATCCTATGGACAGAGGAGTCTGGCGGGTTACGGTTCATGGGGTCATGAGAAGGACACAACTTAGCAACTAAAGCACCACCAGGCACACAGTGGGGGATAAGATAAATGTGGCCCCTGAATATAGTAAAAAATGAAAACGGGCAAAACAGGAGTGTGGTAAGTGTGTTGATGAGTGAAGTACAAGGACACGTAGGTCGCTCCCCTTACCTGGACTGGAGCGGGTAGCTGGATCCAGAACTTCCTAGCCGATAAGATGTCTAAGTTATGACCTGAAAGATGAGTGGGAGGGAAGAAGGGGTATGGTGTGGGGTGGGGCTGGATGGGCAAACCCGGGGCCAGGTTCCAAAAGGTGGGCTGCGCCACGTTAGAGTCTGCGCTTCCCCAGGAGGGACATGAAGAGCCCTCAGGAGGTTTAAACAGGCGGGAGGGCAGATCTGTTTTGGAAACCACACTGTGGCTTCAGTAGAGAGAAGAGCTGAGAGGCAGATGACTGATGATGGTGACTTGACTTAGGGAAGTAGCAATGGGAAAGGACAAGTTTATAAAGCTTGCTAGAAAAAACGATCTGTGGTAGTTTGAAACGTGTCCATGAGTCTTTGACCTTACCGCCACTGAGAGGAGGAACGTATGCTCCCCTCCTTGAATCTGGATGGGTCTGGGACTTGAGTGGAGGTGATCAGCTCAGTGACTCTTGAGACTAGGTCATGAAAAGTTACAGCTTCTGCCTGGTCCTCTAGGGACACTCACTCCCTAGTAGCAGGCACTGTGATGTCAGGGAGCCACGTGTGGACGTTCAGGCTCCAGCCCAGCTGAGGCATCAACTGCCAGAAACATTAACTGAAGAAGTCTTTGAGGTGACTGCCTGGGCCCCATCAATTCTACTGAAATGATTGGTCTTGTTTTAAGCCATTAAGTTCTGGAGTGTTTTTGACACAGCAGTCACCAGACCACTACCCTGGTATCACCCAGTCAGGGAGATATCTTTTCATCTCCTTCTCATTCTGTACTGTACTGTACTCACCATGATTTTTGGCTTCTGTAGCAACAGACATTTACAGTGAGTGAAAATAATCTACAAAGGCATGGAACAGAGTTGGGGGAGAAGATTTCTGTCCATCAGATATTCTCATTAACAGAATAAGTACATGCTTTAGGCAGATTGGGCTTCCCAGTTGGCACTAAATACTGGAGAGTATGTGGATGCTTTAGGTAAACTATTGATCACAGAGAAACACTATTTTTTATAGAAACCACTGTTTTAAAGAAATGGTCACTATATACTGAGCATACTTTTTTAAAAAGAATCTTCAGAGTCCTCAGTTATTTTGAGGTAGAACATTATACACACTGGTTACCTCAGTATTGAGTTGCCTCTCAGTAAGATTTCTGGGAAGAGGTCAAAGAGCCCCGTTTCAGAGTCCACAGAAAACCACAGCCACCAGCGGCTCAAAGCAACACGGCCCAGGAAGGTCATGGCGCCTGTTCATTGTTCACAAGATTCTTTTTTTTGGCTAATGAATAGTCAACCAAGGCCACATTCACCCAGGGCATTTTAATGTTCTCCCTGGATGCTGGAGAAGACAAAAGATAAGTTGAGGGACAGGAAGCATGCCCTATTATTTCCCAAGACTTTGAAGACAGAGAAATTCAAATGCTTTTCTCTTTTACAAAATACCAGACTCATGTAAGATGTAATTAAGATTCTATGAAGGCAGAGAATTTCCTTTAAATGAAGCTTATGCTTCATAGAGCATAGGCTGTAAGACATTCTTTTGATATTTCTAAACTGGAGGAGGAACTCATGTGTTTACATAATTCTTCAGCTGGGTGCAAAACTCTGAATGTAGTAACAACAGTTAATGGTTATACAGCACTTACTTTGTGCAGGCAAAATTGTTTGCTTTGCAGTTATTACCGCATTCCATCCTCACAGCACGTCTATGGGGCGGCGTGACTGTTATCCCTGTTTGACACGCAAGGAGACTGAGGGAGACCCTGGCCGCACAGTAAGTCAGGAGACCCCATGTTGTCTCCGTCGAGTCCCTTCTTTCTTCTCTGAGGAGACACCGTGTGGCACAGCGGGGCGGGGAGGAGACCAGGAATCTGGATTCTCACCTCGGCTCTGCCTGAGACTAGTTACGCCAACTTGGACGAGTCATGTCCTCGGCCTGAAGGGGACACTTAGAAGATTCCTCCTGCTCTAGAACTTCTGGTTCTGTAAACAGTTCTTGCCTCAGAATAACATCAAGTGGGAGTTAGCCCTGGTTTAGAGGCAGCACTGAATAAGGAGTCTGCAGCACTCCAGGAAGACGGCTGGGAGGTCACAGCACCGTGGGACCCTCAGGAAAGGCATGACCCCTCAGGGCTGGGCTTCAAACCTTCCAGAGACAGGTCTCTACAAGGAAGCTCTGACCTGCTGTCATGACATATCTATTTAAAAAAATAAAAGTGAAGCATCCAAGGAGAGAAAAATCATTAACAAATGAGACAAACCATAGGACCAAGTATTATGACCTACATAGAAAACTGAGGAATACAGAGAGCGATATGAGGTTATACTGACTTTTATTTTGAAAAGCACATAGACTGCCAATGACCAAAGTGATAAACATCTCAATTTTGGCTTATCAGTTCTGAGAGTTAAATTCTGGTTTTGTTTGTCCTGCTGAGAAAACGTTTTTTCAGGACACTTTCAATTTCTTAATTAATTTTTGAAAAAAACTTGACCCTACTGAACCTTGCATACCATAACAGTATGCAGAGTCACATAGGCACTATTATTTTACAGCTGGAAAAATGAGGGTTCTGGTGTCTTGTCGAGGGTCACAGGTAGCAATGACAGAAGCAGTGAGAATATCCTGGACTGTTTTCCAGGATGGTAGCGTAGAGTTTCAGACCTCCTTAATTCAGTAAGGCTATAATCTGCAAGTAATTACTCCCCTGAAAATTAGTCAGATGGCCACTTACAGTGAAATTTCTTCCGCTAATGCTTATTGGGTTCCACGCTGGTTCTGGGAGCTGGACTGGAGCCTGTGGCCATGTTCCTCCAAGGATCCTCAGCCCTTTTCACAGAGAAGCCTCCTTGCTTCAGGAGCCGAGCTTTCCACTTCCTGTATCTAGATCTTCATGGTGGCACCAAACATGACTGTCTCAAGGCAGCATGCCGGCACTCAGTGAACTTGGAATTGGAAATTCAAGGAGGAGACCAAGTGTTGATTCGTATAGTGTCCACTGGAATACAATGCCTGATTTCCTAGGAAGCCAATGAGTCATTGAAGGCAGACGCCCTCCAACTCAGACCCACAGGAAGTTTGAACCCAGGGTTACTCAGCCCACAGGGACTGGCTGAGTGGCTGGAAGGTCCGACGGCTGACTGTCCTCTTGTTTAACAGCGCCGTGTGGGGCTGCCTGTTGCTGGGGGTGTGGCAGAGTAGGGCATCCAAAGTGTACGTGGTGACCTGGCCACTTATGTGCAGTTTCTTGTTAAGCTCATCAAATTTGGCCAGGAGAGCGGGCACGTCCTTCACTTTTTCCCTCACTTTGACCAGCTGAAAAAAAAGCAAGAAGAGTATATCGTTACATCCCTGCAAGACTTCTTCCTTGTTCTTCTTATCCTCTAAGAAGCAGAGATATAAATGCAAAAAAAAGTAGAGTGTGCACTTAAGTGGTAAAAATGAGGGTACTGGGGCACACAGAGGCATGAATGAATAAGGAATCCCACAAGCTTCAGACAACAATTGGATTAGCACTTGAAAACCACCCCTGATATTTTATAAAAGTTCGGGGGTCGGGGGGGGGTCCAAGTGGTGCACACTACACAATGAAACATACCAGGGAAAGGAGGTCAAGAGCGTGGAATCAAGTGCGTCCAATTTAACGGTCAGAGTAGGAGGCAGGGCCAGATGATGTAGGGCTTTCTAGCTCATGGTAAGTTTTTTGGAATTATTCTAAAAGCTATCAGAGGGTCCAAACGAGGACATATCTGATGTAGAGTTTAAAAGGCTGTGTGGAGAACTAGACGTACAAGGATGTGGAGACTAATCCTGAGGCGCCCGTCATCAGGCAGGTGATGCTTTAGACTAAGACATGTATAGAAAAGATGGAGAAGTAGATGTAAATATTAGAAATCTATTTTGGAGATTAAACTGAAAGGATTTATTGTTGAAGGGGAGAGGGAGAGGGAGGCATCAGAGATAGCTTTCCAGTTTGGGCTTTAGTAACCTGGTGATGGGGGTGGTCACTGTCTGAGATGGGGAAGATGGGAGGGTGAGATTTAGGGAGGGAAGACCTAGAGCTGTGTTTTAGGCAAGACTGAGGTGTCTGTGAGACATGCAGTGTCTGAGGCATGGAGGCGAGGTCTAGACCAGGGGTGTAAATATTAACATCGTAAGTATATAAATGGGATTTAAGTCTATAGAAATGGGTGAACTCAGAATTAGAATGTAAAATTACCTTCTGAACAAAATCAACATTTTACTTACTTTAGTTCTTTTTAATGATATAACAACATTCTTGATATTTAGAACTAGCTCAAAAGCTGCTGGAGTTGTAGGATCAATTCACTTCTCAAGCAGATCCCCAAGTGGCCTCAGAGCAACCAGGGAACACACTGGTTACAGGGTGAGCTTTCTAAGTAAATCGGCCTTATAGGCTTAGAGGGGGAAAATCAGAGAAAAACCATCAGTGTTTTCCAGTGTGAAGTTTGTCTAGATGCTGTGAAGTGAAAGTCGCTCAGTCGTGTCCGACTCTTTGGACAGTCTTTGGACTCTGTACAGTCCATGGGATTGTAATTTGGGCAGCATATTGATGGGCCAGGTCTAAGGGAAGGACTGATTAACTTGAGTGCTAGTGAGAACGCTGAAGTCGTGTCAGTGCTGCACACACGTGCACATGATTGTGTGTGTTAAGACCAGCTTACATCTCTAGTTTCCCTGCTCTTCTGAACATATTCCAAAAAGGCTTAGGTAAGTCACAACCTCCAAAGAGTGAAGATCTCAGATCGATCTTTACCTTCACTCATGACCAGTGAGCCTCCCCACAGGCTCCCTCTGCCAGCCTTCGGCTGCGGGTGAGGGTGGGCGCGGGGCTGGGACAGCCGCCGCCACGTGGCAAAGGGGGGGGCGCTGCCACTGTGCTCTGCGGCCTACCTGCCAGCCCAGGTGCCAGGTGGGACCCAGCCAGGACCCAGCTGCACAAGGCTAGGGAACAGGGAGGAGGACGGGGAGGACCAACCAACAGGCCCCTGGATTAGTCAAAATGACATTACCAGTATCGTTACCAACAAGCGATCACTGCCAAGAATTTATGATTTCTTTACCGTCTCATTCCCCCTTTTAGGTTATATGTGACTAGCAATGTACAAACTACTAGTTTCAAATGACTTACAATAATTCCTCTTTATGTACTTAAGCCATACTTTAAAAGTATGACATTTGTTTCATTTTGCTCTGTGTTTAGAAATTGCTTCTTTTTATTTTATAATTTTGCAAAACAGCTATATGGTTCCATCAGTTGGTTTGTTCAGGAGCTTAGAGATCAGGAGCTTAGAGAAGCTTTGCTATGGCTTCATATCTGGCAGGTCTAGCACCTCTTCTTTCAGCGTTTTCCCAGCTATTCTTGTTAGTTTTCTCTTTCTGTTAAACCTTAACTACAGAAAAAACCTAACAGTAATTTTATTGGAGTGTTACATTATCACCTTAACTTGGGAAGGGCTGACTTTATGAGGTTGTCTCTTCCTATCTAAACACCTGCCATGTCTTTTCACTTGTTTAAGTAGAGGAGTTTTTTGTTTTTGTTTTTTGAGGATGAGGGATACTAGAGCCTACTGTTGGCCTGTGGGATGATTCACAGGGAAAGCGAGTGATAGAGATGATGCTCAGAAGTTGATACCACTTCTGGGCTCATGCCCTGGGCTGGGTCAGCGGGGCTGGGCTCCCAGGCTCTGGAACAGGGCCTGCAGCCACCACGGCTTCAGGAGGGAAGACAGGGCGGAGCGGGAGAGGGGCGAGGAGTGTCAGTGAGGCGGCGGTTCTCCTGACTGCTTGTTTCCTCTGTGCAACAGGAAGCAAGGTCATCAACTGAGAGTAAGGAACAGGGAGAAGGAATTGGACGCTTGAGGAGAAAGGAAAAAGAAAAAAGAAAAAGAGCTGACAGCCATGGAAACAGTGTCGGGAAAAGAACAATGTAGAAGAAACAAGTTTTCCTAGAATTTCAGAGGATGTGTCCTGTTAGAGGGGAAAAGTCTTTGCACTCACATATAGAAGTCTTACAGCAGGAACAGACAGGTGGCCAGATTTACCAGGCTCTGTAAGGAGGTGGCCTACAGGATTAAGGTACCAAGTGGACCTCTGAAAGAGTGTTCCTGCGCCTTCACCTGATTCCTGCAGAAACCGCACACTTACCACTTCTTCTGAGAATACATGTCTTTTCACAAATCTTGATAGATTTCCCTCTGTGGCATCCTTTAATATGTCTATTAGAGTTTTCAACGTATTTGACTGGATATGGATCATAATCTGAATAAAAAGAAGAAATAAGAGAAACCAAACTGAGCCAGTAGTGAGCACTGAGAAATGCACCCTGTGAAAGAAGCCTCCATTTATAGGCTTCTCATGAGAGCCTATGCTTTTCATGCTATTTCCAAATCATTTGTGTATACAGGTTCAAAAGTGCTTTGAATGAATGCCCACCAGCCAAAAAATGTGTTTCCCAATAGCTAACCAAAGCATCACAGCTTCAGAACTTGTCACAAGGCAGCAATGGAGCGAGCAGGGATTCTGGAGTCTGACAAGCTTGGGTCAGAGCCCTGGTGCCAGCAATTATAGCTCAGTGACTCTTGCCAGGTGTTCAGTCTCTCTTTCAATATCTTTTTTTGTAAAATGAGGAAGATACCTTTACAGCTCACATTTTGTGTTATTGTGAACATTAAACATCAACACACAGGAGGTCCTCAATAAATATTACTATTAGTTTCTTCCTCCTATTTCCTCTGGAGTCAGAGAATATGACAATCAGACAATCTCATAAGACTGGCTCTGGGGCAAAAGATACCTTTACCTTTTTAATTTTTTTGGATAGGAAATTGCAAGCATAGAGATTGTTCAAGTATAAAGTGGAAGCTGATTAAAGTCTTAATGAGGCCCTCCTATTTACATTATAGTTATCAAACTGGATACTGTACTCGGCTTTCAAAATGATACCACTAACTACTTTCCATCATATACAATTAACATACCAGAAAAAAAGAACACATTTCCGCTGCACCCCATTACCAGTGTTCATTGGTATAATTTAAAGAATACAGTAAAGTTTAAAGAAAATGAGAATAATTCAGAATTCACCAACTAATGTTAACCACTGTTTACAATCTCATGTATTATCCTTCAAGTCTATTAATCTCTCCAATTCTGCTTTTTGATCAATTATTATGAAATGAATACTTTCTCATAGCATCAGCAAGTTTTAGAAAAAAATAAAACCTCATTTTTTAAATGATGAATGCATAGCAATCCATCATATAAATAACACATCAAATAAAGCAATACCATCTTTATCAATAACTGTTCAGATATTTTAAAAAATTGTTACTTTAAGAAAGTAACAGTAACTTACAGTCTGTAACTAACTTACAGACTTGACGCCTGTAAGTGAAATTATAAAATCAAAAGGTATAAACATTTTTAAGGCTCTCTATCTTTAGGAAAGAGATTTTCTGGAAGCGATGCTCCATTTTTATACAAAACTAGGTAAATTTTCTTACTTGTTCATTTTATAATATTGTATGCTTGCAGAGCATACAATCAGGATGAGGGGTTATCTTTGGTTCTATGGAACAGAATGAAATGACCCCAAGTAGCCTAACTCCAAAGGACCCGATCTAAGTTTAGTGTTCAGAACACAGGCAGAACTCTGTCAGGAGGCAACACTCCACGGGTTTCTCACGGTCGGGTGGAAGCACTGCCTGCCTTTAGTCAGGGCCATGTCTGTAGAACCAGCAGCATGGGCAGACAGTGTTTGTAATGCAAGGCCGAGCGCAGGTATACTTACTGCCCATCTTAAGAGATTTGAGTTTTCCAAGTTCATGGTTCCTCTCTTAAAATATAAACCCCTGTGTGTACAAGAGACATATGGACCTCTTCATGTTGCTCTGTGGAAACTGGGCTCAAGAAACTGATGCAAAAATGCTCACCCTCTGGCCGCTGCTCTTGCTGTGAGTAGTAAACCATCCTTCATCTCTTGGTGTCTCCTGTTCTCTACCAGCATCCAGGAAACTGTGACAGGTTGACTTATTAGCTTGGAAGTGGAGTAAAATCTCCAAGTCTTAATAGTTCTTAAACAATTTTGTTAATAAAAACCAATCCCAATTTGGCTAGCAGTGGTCTGTCGTGTCAAAGGCAAGGACAAGTCTATCTTGTTGATGCTACATCTGCAGTGCCTGGCACGGAGCAAACCCTCAATAAGAAATGAGAAAAGGAGTGTAGCTCCCCATGCAATTTGCAAGTGTAAACCTCCTGGAGCTCATGCTAGAGACTTATCAGGGATGTGCACCTGGAAGGTTTCAGCTGTTCTTTCCCAGTTTCTCTCTTGCCTCCAGCAGCTACCTCTGATTCAATAGGGATTTCAAGAATGAGGTTCAGTACCTTGAACTATATTGATGACGGGCAACATAAATGAGGCTGTTACTGATGAAAGACAAAGAGTAAATTTAAAGCCAGGAGTTTGTCTCAAACTGAAGTCTCAGGGTACAATTAGAAAAGCTAAATCAGGGTACAGTGCTTTGCTTTCATCTTACAGATTTCAAACAAAAGGCTAGGAAAATTGAATTAGCAAGGAGCAGGGGGAATTTTGGTTAAGAAAAACTACTCAAAGAACACACAGTTCCCGCCCCTCTGATTTTCTGAGACCTCAAGAAATGTTAACAAGTCACTGGACACCTTTGACCAAAAAAGGGAACAGAAGTCCTGAACATGGAGAAATTTGCATTTCTTTTTTCTTTTCAAGTTTGCTATATTTGAAGTAGAACGGCACAGTGTGGTAGAGACTGCTAATTTTCTAACCAGTATCCATTTTCCTTTTGTTTTTTTTTTTGATAACAGAACTGATGCTGTCATGTATAGAACTCAGAAACTGTATTTCTCAGGTTTGTGCGCAACTAGATGTGGCCATGGGATTAAGCGCTTGCTAGTAACACGTGAGTACAAGTTGTTGGGTGAGACATTTGGGAAAGCTTTCTTTTTTCTCTTTGGAGGACAACTGCTTTACAGTAAGGGACCAACTTCTCTGTCCTCCCGCATTCTCCTGCTTCTTGCTGGAATGGATGTAATGGATGGAAGTCATGTGCTTAGGATGGTGGTGTGGAAATACAGAAAGAGGCCAGGTCACTGATGACATCATGGAATGTTATACCAGACCTACACCGACCACCTCTGGTTTTCTACTTGGAAGAAAAGGAAAGCCTCTTATTTGTATAGACTTTTGTTATCTGTAGAGTCTGCCTTGCTTCCAGTCAAATGCGATTCTTAAACATATTAAGTGAGATGATGCCACAAAGGGTTTAATGAGAAATTATAATAAGTCCTGCCTCCTTTTCTACTTGGGCAACCTAGGAGACTTCTCATCTGAGCTAGGACTTTAGGGTGGCCTTAGTAGAGAAACAAACATTAAAACATTCACTTGTGTTAGATAAATGATAAAAGCAGTGAAACTGGTCCCTTGGAAATTCCCCTGCAGAGTAATTCAGTTCCAAAATGGGTGTAGATTTCTACAGAAATGATTAGAATTCAAATAAAATTGGTGGAAAACTCCCCTTTGTTGGCCTGATACTTTCAGACATATTTGGAAGTGAAAAGCAATCCTCTGACATTGAGCACCAATGCTCCAGATGGGGCTATGGTTCTTTTGGGATCGATGAGTTTAAATTCAGACGGAAGGTCAGGGTTAGCACGCACGTGCCTCGGTGAGATCACGTGCTCCATCAGATCCATGTGAAAGGAGCATGAGCTAAGAAATGGGAAACCAGGTCCTCTGGGCTGTATCAGCAGCAGGAGCAATTTCAATGAAAAGAAAATTAGGTTGAGGAGGAAAAATTAGGTAAGTTCAAATTCCAACTGGCAGTAAGAAAAGATTTTAGTCTAAGGCATGAATTTTTAAAGATCAGGAAAAAAAAACCAACTTCATTTATTTCTGCTGATACTGACTGAACAGACTCTCTATTCAGCCTACTTGTCAGGTTTCCATTTCTGAATAATTAACAAATTGCCCTTAAGGATTCTAAGTAGATGATTCAGCCTTGGAGAAGCTAGGGCCCAATAAATTACTTTTTAAAGACCTGCTCTAATAGCAGAGACCCAAAATCTAAAAGATTTCTAAACCTGAGAATGGCAACCATCTCTTTTTCACCATCCCCAAGAAGAGGGAGCAGGCGTCTATTGAAACAGGAGAAATTTAGAGGACATTTGGAAGAATTGCCTGAGTGACAATTTTTAAACAGGAAAACTCTCTTTAAGTTTCTGGACAGAGGATAATACCATGACCCAGTTCACGGAGGGGATGATTCATATTCAAGATCAATTCAAGGTTCCTTGGCGTATTTATTGGCTATCTCCCCTGCCCACTAGCTCCCCCAGGAGGAGCTGCTGGGCTGCCTGGCTCATGATGGCACTCCCTACCATGCTCTGGATTTCTCTTCCGACTGAGATGGACACTTTAGCTCTCGGCAGGCTCGTGTTTTATTTCTACCACGCCTTTCTCATTTGGGGGAAAAAATCATTACTAGAGTCTCATAACAACTGGGAGAGCAAGCCAAGGATTGAACAGATGAGGAATGTAAATTCAAGGACATGGAATATGTGTACCAACAGCAGATTCATTTTTTTAAATCCAGTCCTGTGTTCCCTTCCTTATTCAGGAGGTGCAATTAGCTCCAATCCTAGATAAAAGGCACACAGTGCTAATCTCTGTAGGTCTGGAGTGGTGGGGAAACCCTAGGCTTTGTAGTCAAACAGATTGGTTTGTTTTAATTAGCTGCAAGAACCTAGGTAACGTCCTTACCCTTTGAATCTTCATTTCCCACATGTATAAGATGGAGAAATACTGTTCTAATAATGTTGTATAAAGTAAACCAACAAATAAAAGTACCTAGCATGGAACCTCAGCTAAAATAAACGAAAATTCTGCCAAGCTCACTGCCTTCCATTTCTCACCAACCCTTAATGATCTCCCCACACTAACCTCAACTCTAGGAAAAGCTACTAACGATCCATGTAAACCTCCTCTCTCACGCTCCCCTGGGTCGCCTTCCCACCTGATGCTGTGAACCGCCTGGAGTCCTAGCAGGCCTGCTGCTCTCCAGTCATGAGATGAGTGCATCTGCAGTGCAGGCACTGTCTCTCAGAAGCAGATATTTACTTAGAGACCCAGAGCCATTCACATCCGCTAGTAAGCAGAGAAGAAAAAAAAAAATCACATATGTCTGCTGAAAGATCCGGCTTCCTAGTCTGTTGGGCTTATTGGCTCAAATGACCTAGGATTCTGGACTCTGGACTTTTGCCATCCTGGACTCCAGGATCCGCTTCAGCTGAGCGCGTCACAGGCTGGCCCGCAGTTTCTGCTCTGGTGCCTCTCGGGCCAGGGCCTGCCTGCAGGTGATGGGCATCGGGCTGCCAGCACTCCTGGTTTCAACACCCTGCTGCTGTTCCGTCCTTGCCTTCTTCTCACACTTCTGCTTCACCACTGATGCCTTGTAAACTCATTTCTGGGACCGCTCTCTCCCTTTCTTATGACGTTCATCAGTTTACGTCAGATGCATTACCAGGCTTTACAGGTGAGCTCTTAACTGAGCGTTGACGCTCATCCCTGCTCGGGGTTCATGCCCTTTGCCAACCACAAGGTCTGTTAGGATATTTTTCTAATATTTAGTCTCTTCCCTTCTAAACCCACCTCTTTCTCTTTTTTCCAGGCAGGTTCTCTGCTATCACTGTCTCCATCTTTCTGGTTCCCTAGGTTCATCTTTCCCTCCTGGGTAAGCATTCTGAAAAGTAAATATGAAGTCAGATACACGGTCTTCTTATCTCAGACTTCTTGCTGGAACTTGTTACCCAAAGTTTACCATAAAGGCTTATCTAGTCCTTCTCTTGAAAGTCATCTGGGCACGGATCTGGGGGTGACATTTGAGAGTAATTATGAGCAGAACTAAAAGCATGGAAGCTTGGAGTTCTGCCCAATTCCTATTCATAGGTCCTAGGATTTGTTACGAATAAATAATCCATTTTATTTAACATATTTCATTTTAAACAAATACTACTGGTATTAGCAAACATCACTGAACACTGATTACATGCCAGGCACTAACTGTGCTGTGCTAATACTCTATATGCATTATTTATTCAATTCTCATAATGAAAGAAGGTATTATTATTACTAGTGCTATTTCAGACAAAAGGAAAAATAGGGTCCATAGAGGTTAAGTACCTTTGACTACGGAATCAGAGCTAGGAGGAGAACTAACAAACTAGCCTGCAAACTAGAACCCTCAGCAAAATTAATCTCCCAACAGAGAATGCCCTTTCCCCTCCATCCCTCCAGCCCCCAGCCCTGTCCTTCAGAATGCTACTCAGCACTTCTCTCCTGCCCAGGCTCCTCTGTTAGCTGCAGCTGGCTGGCCCTTCGCTCCCCAGCCTAGAATACCACTCTGCTAGGACCCGCTCTCCCAGTTCACGGCATCTTGGTGTTCACACATTTCTGTTCTTCAACAGTGTTTTCCTCATCTTGGTCCCTTGATGTTTCAGGAGACTGTAAGTTCCGGGGCTTTCTTTTCAACTCCCCACAACACAAATGTAGTCAGCATATAAGCAGGGCCTCAACAGGGCCTGGCTGAGTGGGTGCTGTGTGTGTCTTTAATGACAGGAGAGTCTCTTAATCTTTTCACTGCCCCAGGAATGTGAGGAAGACTCACTGGGTAGACAGGCCATGGCAGGCTGGCAAAGTAAGAATGAGAAGAGCGAGCATTTATTCAGTGTTTACCAGGTTAGACACCACTTTATGCACTGCGGATATACTGGCTCCATGAGTCGGGTACCATGGATAGGAGGTAGTCAGCATGCAGGCTTTTCTTAGAGTCTCAGTGAAGAGACTGCAGAGCCCATCCCCCGCCTCTCTAACTCGCCGGCCTTCTGTACTCCTGTGTGACACCTGCAGCATTCGTCCACCTCTTCTGATGAGCGGGTCTGCCTTTCCCACCTATTTCTAAACACCTGGAAGCTTGTGGTGACTCCTCTCACAGGGCTCTACTATAACTTTCACACAGTGATTGATAAATGAACAGAATGAATAAAGACCTTGGGACATCAAAAGTCATTTTTTGTACACAAACAAAAAAAAAAGATCTCTTTTATTACATTTCAAGCCTTACTTTAACCATAAAGAAGTTACTTACATTTAAATTAGCGCAGATTATGCTTTCTGGGTTCATGATTTGAGAAAAAATGGATATAGCTTTTGCCAGCTGGTTCTAGAAGGAAGAAAAACAAGTCAGACCCTCAAGTCATATAAACATTACTCTGCTGTAATAAAGATGATTTAAAGATGTCAAGATAGTCCTATCCATGGTGCCCCAGGGTTTTGAAGTCCACAGAGAAAAGAATGTTTTTTAGTAATCAAAAATGAACATTCTGTAAAATGTTTCCTACTGTGGCATACTCCTTAATGTTTAAACAACCTGCCTGAGTTCCACTTTTTAGGATGGAGGCATAAAGTTGTCATGTCCCCTCTCTCATTGGAATGAGCTCTCAAAGAAAAGCAAGTTTGAGAAATAGAATTGCAAACCCATTTTTGGCCTAATTAGAAACTAGCAGAAACCTCAAACCACAGAAGAGGTTTGCACTGCCAAAAACATTGGAGATGGAGCTTGGGTGAGCTCTGGACGGAGTAGTAAGAGGAGGACATGCCTGCATATCTCAGAAGTGCTCAGAGTTGTCCTCAAAGGTGAGGGCACAGCCTCAAGTACTCACTTTCTCTTTACAATGGTGTAGGAGAGTTTAGGACTAGTAATGAGATCTCTGGATCCTTTTGATGGCAGATGTGAGCTAATTAAGAATTTACACAGATCAACATAGACCAACGGAATAAGATAGAAAGCCCAGAAACAAACCCATGCACCTATGGGTACCTTATTTTTGACAAAGGAGGCAAGAATATACAATGGGGCAAAGACAGCCTCTTCAATAAATGGTGCTGGGAAAACTGGACAGCTACATGTAAAAGAATGAAATTAGAACACTTCCTAACGCCATACACTCAAAATGGATTAATTAAAGACCTAAATCTATGACCAGAAACTAGAAAACTCTTAGAGGAAAACATAGGCAGGACACTCAATGACATAAATCAAAGCAAGATCCTCCATGACCCACCTCCTAGAGTAATGGAAATAAAAACAAAAGTAAACAAGTGGGACCTGATTAAACTTAAAAGCTTTTGCACAACAAAGGAAACTATAAGCAAGGTGAAAAGACAACTATCAGAATGGGAGAAAATAATAGCAAATGAAATAACTGACAAAGGATTAATTTCCAAAATATACAAGCAGCTCATACAACTCAATACCAGAAAAATAAACAACTCAACCAAAAAGTGGGGAAAAGACTTAAACAGATATTTCTCCAAAGAAGATATACAAATGGCTAACAAACACATGAAAAGATGCTCAACATCGCTCCTTATTAGAGAAATGCAAGTCAAAACTACAATGAGATATCACCTCACACCAGTCAGAATGGCCCTCATCAAAAAGTCTACAAACAGTAAATGCTGGAAAGGGTGTGGAGGAAAGGGAACACTCTTGCACTGTTGGTGGGAATGTAAATTGATACAGCCCCTATGGAAGACGGTATGGAAATTCCTTAAAACACTAGGAATAAAACCACCATATGACCCAGCAATCCCACCCCCAGGCATACATCCTGAGGAAACCAAAATTGAAAGACACACACGTGTGCTCGCTTCGGCAGCACATATACTAAAATTGGAACGATACAGAGAAGATTAGCACGGCCCCTGCGCAAGGATGACACGCAAATTTGTGAAGTGTTCCATATTTTTATGTATATCCATGGCTGATTCATGTCAATGTATGACAAAAACCACTACAATATTGTGAAGTAATTAGCCTCCAACTAATAAAAATAAATAAATAAACAAAAAAAAAAACAAACAAAAAGACACACATGTATCCCATTGTTCATTGCAGCACTATTTACAATGGATAGAACATGGAAGCAACTTAGATGTCCATCGACAGATGAATGGATAAAGAAGTTGTGGTATGGAATGGAATGTTACTTAGCCATAAAAAGGAACACATTTGAGTCAGTTCTAATGAGGTGGATAAACCTAGAACCTACTATACAGAGTGAAATGAGTCAGAAAGAGAAAGATAAATACCATATTCTAACACATATATACGGAATCTAGAAAAACAGTACTGAAGAATTTACCTTCAGGGCAACAATGGAGAAACAGACATGGAGAATAGACTGATGGACATGGGGAGAGGGTAAGAGAGGGTGAGATGTATGGAAAGAGTAACATGGAAACTTACATCACCATGTGTAAAATAGATAGCCAATGGGAATTTGCTGTATGGCTCAGGAAACTCAAACAGGGGCTCTGTATCAACCTAGAGGGGTGGGATGGGGCGGAAGATGGGAGGGAGGTTCAAAAGGGAGGGGATATATGTATACCTATGGTTGATTCATGTTGAGGTTCGACAGAAAACAGCAAAATTCTGTAAAGCAAGTATCCTTCAATAAAAAATAATTAAAGTAAAAAAAAAGGAATTTACACAGATCAGCCATATTTGCAGGAAACGGTCTGTCACTTATAGCAGCAGTAGGGAAGAGACTGTTTTGAATCACCTCCATGCCTATTCCCATCAGCCAGGGAGAAACAAAGCCTATTATATTTGTAGAAAACCCCATCCATAAAACCATGGCAGCATGGCCAGGTTTCTTCTGACATGAGTCTTCTACAGATGTCTGGTCTAAGAGAAACATATGTTCTTCAATGATGAATAACCAAAAAAGAACCAGCATGGGATCTATCTATAGACAATATGTGGGGGGAGAAAGAAAGGATTACAGCAAAACAAAGAAAAAGAAAAGAACCGACAGATGAAGAAACCCCAACGAAAACATGTTTCCATGGATATAAAGGTCAGAAATGAGAAAAATGAACAAGATCAAATCACTCAGAAGTGGGGAAAAAAAAATCAGGCAGGCCTCAGATTTCTCCATGGTAACATTCCACCCTAGAAGAGAGAACAATGCCAAAGAAAACCTCCAGGAAAGGAAATATCACTTCAGTTTTATATCTGGCAAAACTGTAGTTCAGGTAAAACAAAACAAACAAACAAACAAAAAAGACAAATAACTTTAAATACCAGGAACTCAAGGAATACTGTTCCCCTGAAGAATTTATTAGAAGACACACCATGGAGAGCCTTAGATTTAAAACTGTTCTCTGGGCACATTACATAGCAAATGAATCATCTGAAATTTAAACTTGAATGATTTGAGAACTTTCTCCAAGTGCAGCCTCCCTCGTCGATTTTCCACAGGGTTCCCCCAGTCCCAGGTAAACAGCAGTGCGTGTTAGGCCCTCAGCTGTAAATGAAAACACTCTGGAGGCAGAGGTATGGATGCAGGTTGCCATGGCATCAGGGGAACTGGTCTCCTAATGGGGACTTTTTTCTGTGACAGTCAGAGGGATAAGGAAATAAAAGCAGGGACACCTGAGAGTAGCCAAGCTTGCCCACGCCCAGTTCCTTTATGTGTACCCCACAGCCTCACCTGGTTCAGAGCCAATGCCACTGCAAAACAGGATGCTCTCCTGGAGAGGATTTCTCCTTTGATTAGGGCTTCTTCTCTTAATGTGGTACAGACTTGAAAAGATTCAGGGCTATTCTGGGGAAGACAGGATTGCTCGATAAATACATGTCACAAACCTTTAAGTGTAGTTAAAGTTGATTAGTGGTGCTCAGTGTTCCAGATTTCCTTTTGGAAGAACTTCCTGGAGCCTATCTCAAGCCACTTAAAAGACTGAGCTCCATTTGTACATAGGCTCAGTTAGGTATACATTAGCACTTCAAATCTAAATAAACTCCATTTTTAGCTCTTTGTCAGTTTTTCTGATTTGGGGCAGCTCTACCAGCAAACATTAGGATTACTTTTCATCCAGGCAGGCTGGTTTTCAGACATAGGTACCACAGCATACAAGTGTGAAGTATCTAATGTGCTTCAACCACATTAGATGACAGAACAAAGCTCAGCAACACACAGAACTTTTCCTGAGGAGGTTTCCAAACTGAAAATATCCATTTTAAGTCAAATATTTGAAAACATGAAAACTTTTTTGAATGTAAATCATGAAAGAACCCTATGAAAACAGAATCCAAACAACCTAACAACCTAAGTGATACACAAACTAGCAGAGAGGAGTGGTGAAACAGAATTCTCTTCCTTTGCGTTGTGGGTGGGTGAGGTTTATGACTGCAGCATCAGCTCTGTACCTGTGTGTGTGTCTGTCAAGACGTGATTCACAACTCAAATCCTAAAGGAACACCTGAATTTAATGAGAGAGGACAGCTCCCAGAATCGACTTGCAATCTGTAATGGGTGACCAGTGTTTCAACTTGTCTCTCCACTGAGTGAAATGAGTTACTCTGGGAAAAGTCCTCTGGCCCTTCATAAGCAGTAGAGTTAAATTCGCTCCACTTCAGTATATACTCAGGGAGGCATCTCAAAGAAGGTCAGGAAACTGGGTGTCACAGTGCTGAAGAAGTGATGCTCAAGTGTGTGTTGCATTGGCCTGATTCACAGATCATAAAGTGGTAGACTTGGAAAGGATCATCCAACAATCTGGCAGTCAGCAAACTATGACCCTGGGGCCAGAGCCAGCCTATGGCTAAGACTGGCTCTTACGTTTTCTTAAAAGGTTTGTAAAACTAAAGATGATGCTGTGACAGGGACCATAAGTGGCAGAGCCCCAAAGTCTAAAATATTAACTATCTGGCCTTTTAAAGAAAAGGCCTGCTGACTCCTGAATCCACACACTTCATTTCACAAATGAGGTAAGTGATTTCAAAACCAGTTCTTGCTAAAGTTGAGACTAGAGTCCACAATGTTCAATTTCCAGGTTGGTTGCTTTTCCCTGTAACCAGCTGCCCCTCTTGCTTTGGAAAGTTAATACTGCTTTATTTTTCAGGGAAATTTTTCAATATCCATATTCTACCTTGCTTAGTGTTCCCTCATTTTCAGTATAAGGAGGTTTTGTTAAGTTTCCAAAGTTAAAATGGCAAGAATGTGTACAATAATGCATGGAACCTGGGTCACTGCAGTACTTGTTAGCATTTATGCATTCAGTAAGTAATAAAGAAATAGTTTATGTGCCAGAAACAATCCAGATATAGTGATGAGAATAGGGATCTATGTCATGCTGTCTATTATCGAAGGATTTATTTTAATGTCACATACATTTATTAAAGATCAGCTGTGAACCAGACACTGTTAGGTGCTGGCATATAACGGTGCGTCAAGGAGTTTACCCTCTATGGGGGATGCAATGTGTGTCTACTTCGTGTATCAGGCAGTGTTATGAGTGCCATGTCTATGACTGCAAATAGAGCACAGTCAAGGGAATCCACAAGAGAGACATCACTTCCAACTTAGCGATCACAGAAGAATTCAGACGAGGACAAAGCAGCCCTTGCGTTCACCACTGAGGATACCAAGACTTCCAGAGGAGAGGGCCACAGACATGACTGGTCTGGTGAAGTCCAGTGTGAGCAAGAGGACTGACTCTCTAGCAGAGTTTGAACCCAGCATACTGTTTCTTGCTCTCATTATCTACACAAATGTCAGAGAAGACTGAAAGATGATAAAATTGCTTTTCCCATGATAGGACTGTCTGACATGGCTAACTTGGGTTTTCTAAAAATGAACATATTTAAAATGGAAATATCTGTACCAGATGGAAAACAGACTTCAGAGGAACTGAATTTTATTTGTAGAGGGGGGAAAAAAAATTAAATCCTCTGTCAAACACAACCCAAAATGCTCTAAGAGTTTAGGGAAGACAGTCTTACCAGTTTGTAGCAAATTGCAAAAGCAAGGACATAGGTATCTTTGTTGAACTTCAGATCTTGGTTTTTCATCTCAATCAATACTTCCAATGCGCCTGCAAAGAGCCAGGAGTGGGCCGCCGTTAAATGCATTCAAGTGAGTTCCAAGTCCTCTACTATTGATTCCCAGTATTGATTCAATCTGTTTAGCCTCATGTATTGAAAAGTATGCTTCAGCACAATAAAAACTTTCAAAGTCATTTACTAGTTAACTAAATTATAAATTAAATTATCAAATTATACAGGAAGAACTAATATTTTAAACCTATTTTCACCACAGCATAAGTAAAAACCGGGGTGTTTAAGTCATGACATGTCATGTAGCACGGGAGTCACATTTAAAGAAGGGGGTCTCCATAATTCAGTCACTCATCAGGAATATAAGAGTCATTTTTACATGGCCCATTGTTTTTCTTAATTGCTTTACCTGCAAAGACAGAATTTTTCAGCAAACATAAATTGTGATACTTACTTTTATATTTGCCTTTGATAAATAACATATCCATCAAAATATTGAATGATGTGGAATCTGAGAAGAAACCTCGTAAATGCTAATGAAGAAAAACAATACAGTTTGGTTAAAAGTTAAAATTATTAAGAGAATACTTACACTGCATCTTCTCTGTCTAGGATTTGCTTTTGTACAAACTTCATTCATTTAGCAACAAAATTTAAATACTGCCCACTGTTTTGGCATCATGCCTTTGGCAGTGGGCACAGTAAACAAGAGGCAAGAGATATGGCCAGAGATCTCCAGGTTTCAGAAATGCAGTGAAGAACGTCTTTCTGCAGTGTGGCTCTGCCAAGCGTAGAGGAAGAGAACCAGGCCGATTAATCTGGCGGGGATAGTCCTGGAACCTGGGTGGCAGCATATTAACGTGAAATGGCAGCTGGAAGTGCGCTTGAGGACAGGGGCAGGACAGGCTTGTGCAACTAGGATCCTCTTTTGGCAAACAGTACAGAGTTGATTATTTACTATTATTTATTTATTATTTATTATTTTGAAATAATTCACTACAACAGTGGTTCTCAACATTTTTAATGCCATGATAATGTGACACATGCTATTCAAGTACACCATTAAATGTCTTGTGCCAGTCTGTTATTTTTTGAGAACCAATTAGCCAGACCCTTTCTAGGCACTGAGACTAAAGAAATGATGAACAAGTCAAAGACCCTGCCCTAAACTCTAGTAGGGCTTATTACCTATGGGGGCTTACATCCTGGCAGAGGAGACAATGAACAAGTGAATAAAACAAGCAAAAACTTAAAATTTCAGGTTATCAGTGGAGGCCATAAAGAACAATGGAACAGGATAGGGACAGCAAAGACGAGGAGAAGTGGTCAGGGAAGGCTCTCTGAGACGAGGAGACCTCAGTGAAGTGATGCTGTGTAGAGCGTTCCAGTCTGAGGCCACGGGCCTGCCATGTCTGAGAAAGAACAAAAGGTCCCGAGTGCAGTGAGCAAGGCGGAGAGGAGCAGGACCTGAAATACCACGAAGGGCCCCTGCGGGCGCGGCCAGGGCTCCGAGGTCTATGCCAAGTAGGGTGGGAAACCACCAGAGCAGCCCTGTCCACAGGGAGAAAGCAAGTCTCAAGTGTGAGCCACGTACATGACTCTAAATTTTCAAGTACTTTCATTCAAAAAAGTAAAGAGAAAGATATGAAATCAACTTTAACAATCTGTTACTTGACCCACTAAATCCAAAACTTCAACATGGAATCGATATAAAACATTATTAATGAGATACTTTCCATCCTCCTGTTTATTCAGGTATTTAAAATCCATCATGTACTTTATTCTGCAGCACATGTACGTCTGAACTAGCCACAGTCCAACGGCTCCGTGTACATGGGTACCTGTGGGTCGTGGCTCCCTCCCTGGCAGTACATCAGGGTTCTGGGCAGGGAACATGACAAGGCAGGCGGGAGCAGGATTAGGCTTTATGGCACATGACTCTGATTCAGTTAATTCTACTGCTCCAGGAAACTTAAACACATACATGAATGCTTCATACTCAGGTAGGTTAAAAAAAAAATTTCCATTTTCTTTTTGTTTCATTGTTATACTCATGGGTCTGATTTATTACAGTGCAACTTTTCTTTAATTTTAATAACATGCTTATTATAAAATAGTCAAGTAATACAAAAATATATAAAGTTAAAAAGTGAGGATTTCATCTAATTCTTCCCCCGAAAGCAGTAGTTTAATGTATATCCTTCTAGATTTTTAAAACATACATACTATAATGTAAATATGGTATGTATATTTATCCTTTTAGAAAAAATAGGCTCAAACTAATCCATACTGTTCTGAAGCCACCTCTTCTTAGATTACTAATATATTATGGTCATCTTTTTAATACCTGTGGTCCTTTAAATAGGGACAAGCTGAGAATTAACAGTTCCTCCACAGATAGAAACTTTATATGAAAAAAAATAAGAGGCAAAAGGACAACCTAGTCATAGAGATTCCTAAAATTATTAAAATGTCCCGGGAGGTCAGCCCTAGTCCCCTAATTTAATAAATGTTTCTGACCATGGATGGATTTATAATATCTCTGAGTTCCTATAAAATAGAAATAATAATAGTACCTACCTGGTCAGGGTAATTGTGGAAAACAAATGAAATGAAATATGTAGACTGCTTAAGAACAATAATGAGGACAGGGTAAATATTCAGTGGATAATTACAAAAATAATTATTGTTACTTCTGCTTTTAGGAAAAGAAAATCAGATTATGTGAAAGCAGAAATTCTGAAAACAGAAAACCACCTGTCAACATAGCCTTCAGCCAGAAGTAAAAATACAAAAGCAGGAGAGAAGCACAGATGAAGAATGGGAAAGGCGGCCACCTCAAACTGTCCCCACTGAGTGCGCCTCCAAGGAGAGCGTGTCGGCCCCCGGTGGACGTACATCCAAGGTGGGTGGATACCTTGCAATCTGTACCTGCACCTCTTCCACACCGGTTCTCACCTCTGTACGAAGAAACCTACCCCTCTCCGTAGGCAGTGACTCCAAGGACACCTTAAAAACACAGGGAAGAGCTTGTTCCCTTAACCTAGTAGCCTCTCCGTGAAAATCTAACCCAGGAATAATGTGTATAGAAGAGCTGCCCTTCCTAACATCACTGAAAACACGCCCTCCTCAGCACGAGGAAATCACGGTGGCAGGAAAAGCCACCGGGAGAGAGTAACCTGGTCTTTGATGAGCTCCACCGCAGAGTCCTCAAGATCCAGCTCGTAGCACAACCTCATGAAAAGCGGTCCAAACTTGTACTCTCCCAAAGTGATGTTCCTGTTCTCTGCATGGTACCTGGTAATCAAAATAATTCAGTGAGCCAAACAGTGGGACTGGGGAAAAGGACAGACAGACTGTGGCATGCACTCTGCTCGGTGCTGGGGCACACAGCAAAGAGTGCAGTCCTCTCCCCATCTGGAGGGGAAAGCACAGAATTAAAGATGATCAGAAAATCCTGGAAAGCAGAAGTATGTTAGGCATTTAAATAAACAAACAAGGTTCATTAGAGGCCCACATACTCTGAAGTTACAAGAAGTAAAATACAGGTTGTAATCATCCTCTCAAATTTACCAGCAACCTGCTAGGACTGAGTGTGAGCATGTCAGGGAACAGCAGGGGTCTTGCATCTGTAAGCCCATCAGGATGGCACCATCTCTTTCTATGCTTCTGGGGAGGAATGAGGAAAGGAGTGGGGTGATGCTCCATCCCCCTCATGCCTGGCTTTACCCCCATATAGGACAGCAACAACCAGTAGATGCATTTTAAAATCTAGACCTATCACTCCTTTTTTCTTGGCTCAGGGAAAGGTATATGTGAACCATAATCGCTGAGCCAAACAAGTTAAATGCAGCTTTGAAATTTTAGTTTTAGAAGAAGGCTAATTTCAAAGACGTGATGTTTTATATGTATGTGGCTTGGGATTTCTACAAGTAGCCAGTCTGCCAGTTAGAACTGCAGAACTGAAAATTGCTCGCAAATCTCTCCTTTCAATAATCAACTCTTTCTGCTTTAGACACCAGGAAGACAATCTGGTGACAAAACAAGTAACTCATGATTACATGTAAATCAGATTTTAGGGAGATTCATTATGTGACTGAATCCCAGATACCATGGGGAAAAGCTCTGGCTTTAACAGAATGTTTTTTAACCTTCTGCTGCAATCACTGAGGAAAGTCATAACAGCATAATGGATAGTCCATTCTAAACATATATACTACCAAAGAGAATGATGAATGTACCTTTAAAGATGCATTTCATAATCCAATTATAAAAGTTATAAAAATACTCAGTTTCATTTACAGTCATTATGAATTAACTTATCATATCAAAACATCAGGGGCTTCCCCAATGGCTTAGCAGGTAAAGAATCCACCTGCAATGCAGGAGACACAGGAAATGTGGGTCAGGAAAATCCCCTGGAGGAGGAAATGGCAACTCACTCCAATATTCTCACCTGAAAAATCCCATGGACAGAGGAGCCTGATGGGCTACAGTCCACAGGGTCGCGAAAAGTCTGCCACAACTGAGCGACTGAGCAGACAATGCACATTAAAACATCAAGCTGTACACCTTAAAAATGTAAAATTTATATATGTCATCTGAACCTCAGTAAAGCTGGAGGAAAGAAGAAACACATATTAACAGGCAGTATAGTTAGTGATTCAGGACTTTTAGACTTTTGATTCCAAAATAACAGTTTACATCCCAGCTGTTCTACATACTGTGTCACTATGAGCAAATTAATTAACCACACTGTACCTCAGTTTCCTAATCTGTAAAGTGGAGATAAGAAAAGGACTCAAAGAGTTTTTGTGAGGATCAAATGAGATGATATGCTGGGCACACAGTAAGTCTTCCATGTATGTTACCTCTTATAAAATGTAAGGCATGCTGAAGAAAATATCTTTAAATAATCAATGTATTTCAGTAAATAGTCTCAGGAGAGATGTGTGTCAGATTAACAACAAAACTAACATGAAAATTTTCCCAACTTAAATGACATTCACACCAATGAAAGCGCTAGAAAATCAGAGAGGTAATATGTCACCTCCTCTTGACAAGAGACATTCGAGTTCGAGGATCTAAAATCCCCTATAAACCAAACAGCATATGGTCAAAACCAGGAGGAGATTCAGTTGCTCCTTGTATTTGGCTCAATAAGGAGCTTATGTTCCAGCTCACTGCTCTTCTTCCCCAACGAGGGGCAGCCTGCCTCAGAAATAAAGAAAACAGGTTGGGGAGGTCAAGGACCACCCCCCCAACTCATCCAGCTGTCCACAAACAGAGGGAAAGGACAGCAACCAGGCAGAGAGTTACTAGCGTCAATAAAGGGATTATGAGTCACACATTACGACAAAAATAAGAGTGGAAAGAGTGTTTAGAATGTTATCCTGTTTTGTTGCTCTTGTAAACATCTGATAGCTTTGGCTAGTAAAAAGAAAACAGAGCAAAAGGAGCCAGAGGTATCAAATGATTCAACTTTATGAAACTGAAATCGCAGATTTAGGTTTGCAGACACAGTGTGAATGTGAATTACCATAATCCCTTTTGGAAAATAATCTGGCAGTCTGTATTGACAAGCTTTAAAAGGTTCCTGTCCTCTGATCCCCAAAAGAAGGTTTTACACATAGCGTTTGCTCATCATAGCACTGTTTATCCTGGAAAAATCAGAAATGATTTAGACATTCAACAATAGGGGCACAGTTAATTAAAATACCTAACCTATAATGGAATAGTGTATAGTCATGAAAATATGATTCCTAGAGTGTTAACAAGCAAAAACATTTATGCTGCAATGCCAACTAGAAAACAAAATATCCTGTCACATACACAGTAATAGCCACAACTATGTAAAATAAACCCTACCAAAACTGCAAAATCTTGCATGAAAAAAAAAAATTGGTGGGAAAACATATCAAAATATTAACAGTGGTTTCTTGGATATGTTAAGACAGGCCCCAAGGATGGCTGCCATCAACTCCTCATGCATACTGCTCCATCCATCCACAGGTAGAATCCTCTCCCTTTCCCCATGAACCAGGGGTGGCTAACTTGCCCTGACCAGGAGAATGGGGTGGAACGAAAAGATGTGCCAGTGCTGGGCAGCTCTGCAAGGCCTGCAGCTGTGTGCTAGTCTGTCTCCAGCTGGCCTTGTGAATGGTGAGTTATGGCGGGGGCAGGGGGGACAGGCGTAGGGACACTGATGCATCAGAAGTGCCAATGAAGCCTTCTTGGACCTCCCAGCTCAGCCCACTACAGCTGACTGCAGTGCACAGGTGAGTGAGCCGATACTGGTAAGAACTGCCCAGCTGAGACCAGCCTCAGTTCCTGACTCACTAAATGTGAGAAATAAAAGTTGTCATTTAAGTCATTAAGTTCTGTTGTGGTTGGTTATGCAGCAGGAGACAATCAAAGCTGCAAAATGTGTAATATATTTCTTGTGTTTTTCAAATTTTCAATGAAATTTGTGTAATTCATGTCTCTTATAGACAAGTTTGAGAAATCAGAAAGGTACACATTTAAACAAACAAAAAATATAATGTATAATTTCCAAAGAGCCACGGTTAACTTAGGGTGTATATTCTTCCAGTACTCTACATATGAATAACTTGTATTTTTCTCCGTAAATGTACAAGTGCAGGTCCATGTATAGAAATGTATCTTTAAAGAATGGTGAAAAGAAGCCATGAATTATTTTTAGAAATAAAGCCTGTTGGTTTGGTGACATCCTGCTCCCAGAAGACACCTTTGCTGGGTTTCTGAACAGCAGACTGTGATCACACATGAGTTCCTTCTGATGTGGGAACGTCTGATGAGGGATCAGAGACAGTAAACAGACATAAGCCGGGAGTAGGGAGGCCAGCCAGGAGCCCACTGAAGTGTCCAAGTGAGAGGAGTGAGGCCTGAACTCACACACAGGTAATGGGGACAGAGAGAGGAAGGCTGGGGTGAGAGACGGCAGGTTGTGGACACGGGAGAGCAGATGAGATCAGGGGAAAGGAAGACTGGTCAGGATGAGAACAGTCAGCAAGCAGAGGTCCGTATACACTGAACGTGAAGGCTAGAGGATGTGTGCGTGGACTGAGTGAGTAGTGAGGCTGGTGATCTCCTGGGCCGTGAATTATCTGTTTTCCTATCTTCAGCACCTGGCATGTAGTAGGAACATAATAAGCTTTTGTTAAATGAATGAATATAAACATGTGGTGCTCAGGACAGGCACCTGGACAAGAGACTTGGAAGTCGCCAGTGTAGCTGAAGATAGCCGAAATCTTCCAGGTGTATGCAATTGCTCAGGAAAGGGAGACAGTGGGAAAAGGCTGGCAGCATTCTAAGGAAGTGCCTCACCTGTAAATGACATGTTTAGCTAGCTCCACGTCGTCCCGGGATGCACACAAATGAAGCAGAGTTCTCAACTCCTCTTTCAAGATGAGCTTATTCTGGGTCAGTTTCTCTTCCAGGTTTCTCAAATAGGTTTCTGGAAGAAAGCACAGTGTGGAGGTGGCTATCACTCAGGCTGACTCGGACTATTCAGGAGTCTGACCTCAGGGAGAAGGGGAGGCCAGAACCCAGCACCTTGCAGAGACCACTGAAAGGGGCTCGTGGCCACACAGCTCCCATCACTGGCTGGTCTTGAGCATCAGAGATGGTGTGTGAAGCAGCGCATCTGTGTCACAGGGCGCAGGCCCAGGCCTCACTCCAGATTCCCTGCACAGGGTCTCTGGGAGCAGGAGCACAAGAATGTACATTTTTTACTACCTGGGTGATGCTTATGTAAAGTTTGAGAACTAATGTCCAAACAGGCTTAGTCCAGAGAACTGTATCTACAGGTGACCTGTGAGGAAAAAAAAAGTAACCAAGATATCCAAACCATCAGTTGGTAGGGCACCTAGCAGGAAAGCTGAAAGGAAAATGTGAAGATGAGTCAACCCACAGTGGAGGACTCACACGATTCAGGAATACTTCATATCTCTTCCATTTGATTCAACTTTACCACTTTTTCCTTCCTCCTGGTCCCTCTCTAATCAATTGTTAGAAAGGATGCCACAGTACTGTATAATGCACAGAGGGTAAACCTGTCCTCTGACTGCAGCACACCGTCTTCCAGTAACTGGATCATTTCAAGGTGATCACTGTCTATGTCCCTTGTCTTGTATCTGAACCTACTGTGGAGACAAACCCCAACAGGAAGCACTGCTTCCTGGCATTAGGAGGCACTGTATTCTTGGCAGAATGTGGGCTGAGAGGCAGGCACCAAGCAAGCATCTGCTTTCCAGAAGGCAGGGCAGTTCTCACCCTCAGAAGCTGCCAAGGAAAGTCTACAGGATTTGTTCCAAGGCACAAAGCTCTGAAGGAATGCTGCCTGAAGGAATGGTGGGATGTACATTAAAAACACAAAATTACGAAGCTGAAGTAGATGCTGCTCTCAATTTACTAGGAAAAAAGGCCCCCCAGGTTTGGGTTATTGCAGTAGACCCTCCGATCTTTATTTGCAGGATCTTGTAATGGCTAAAGGTTTTAGAATTGGGAAGACATGGGCTGAAATCTCCCAGGTATCGCCAGTGATAAATAACCCACCTGCCAATGCAGGAGACATAAGAGACATGGGTTTGATCTCTGGGTCAGGAAGATCTCATGGAAGAAAGCACGGCAACACACTCCAGTATTCTTGCCTGGAAAATCCCATGGACAGAGGAGCCTGGCAGGGTCCATGGGATCGCAAAGAGTCAGACACACTGAGGCGACTTAGCATGTACGCGTGTGCGGGCTGGAATCTAGGCTTTGCTATTTGCATGCTATGGGGAGGTTTGGGGAGGCTTATCTGTGAGACTCAATTCATGTATAAAGTGGAGATCATGATACTGACCTCATGGGGTCATCCTAAGATAATGCAAGTGAAGTAAAGCCCTTAGCACAGGGCCCAGCATGTAGTAACTGCCAGGAAATCACAGAGGTTATTATTCTTACTTTCATTCTTCAGTCATGAGGATTTATTCTATTAAATATTTCTAAACAATTTCCAACTTAAAAAGATTTTAATAGGATGACTTTACATCTTGTACTTCTTAATATGTCCAAAATTTCAGCAAATATAATTTGTATTTTAAAACAATCAATAAGATTTAGGTGCTTATTGTATATTCATATTCAGAAGTATCCTTCTTTGTGTGAGAGACACAGGGAAGGGTAAGGTATGCTTCCTGCCCTGAAAGAGCTTAGAATCTATTTGAAAAGATATATTTACACAAAGATATCTGAAAACAGTGACAGAGTAGGTGACATGTGACAGTATAAACATAACAGAAAAAAAGAGAAATCAAGCAGCAGAAAGAGCAGGCGTGGTGGAAGTGGAGAGGCAGCACAGGACGGACGGGGCTGGGTCGGGCTGGCAGAGATGACGGGGGTTTGGCATCGCGGGTGTGGGAATCAGCACGAGACACAGCACGGAACTGCGGGGGAAAGGTGGTGAGGGGAGAACGTGACTAGATTAACAGGAAATTACAAAGAATTCTAGAACGGGTGAGATCTACTATGGAAGAGCTAGGAACCTGGGGAGAAGGGGGAAGTTTGTACATGATGTGGTATACAGAACAGTAAGTACCACTGTGGGTTCTCATAATGATGAAATGTGGACAGGATCTTATAGGTAAATATCTGACAGTGCGGTAGAGTGGCACTCATTATATTAATTGACTTTTAGAACATATGCATGACCATCACAGCCTTAGAAAGATTGTGACAACTGGAGTAACAACCGGGCTGTGACATGAAGCCCTAACTGCAAACTTCACAGAGCTCCAGACGACTTGGGGTAAGCAGAAAAGACTGAAGTCAAATCTAGATTGAGTCTACTAAAGTGGAGACTCAATTCTCTGTCACTCTTTATCTTCTTGTTCTGTAGGTGATTTTGTATAACAGTATGGTTAGCAGAGTAATGAAGGAAGACTGATTTCTAGAGGGCTGGACTGTAGAGATGGGAAGCAAGTATTCATTAGGTGCTCACAACATCCAACAGTGAGGAGGAAAGCTGATAAAGTCAACAGAAAGTTATTAAAAAAGAGGGGAGTCTTACTGTGTTTATAAAAGGATTTGAATTACTGGGGAAAACTCAATGTGCAGAAGAGGAAATGAATGCAACAAGATTTCTCAGATGCTGAAAGGGAACAGGACCAGGGGTCGTGGTGGTGTCTTTAGCTGTTTACAATAGAAAGTTTCAAACATACCAAAAAGTAGAGAGAGATCATCTCCCACGTGTCCATCACCCAGCCATAGCAATTATCCTTGTTTTGCTAATTTTTTAAAGAATCTGTTTTAGACTACTGATTCTTTCAGCACAGACTTGGAAACATGAAAATACATAATATAATTTTTGTTGCATTTGATTTATCTATCAATATGTATGTGTGTACTAGAGATGCAAGGCAAATTGTATTTTTTACTGAGAGTGGCATCAAAAGTCTGAAAGCCAGTCATGTGGAGCAGTTCTCCAACTTTACTGTGCAGACGAATCGTTTGGGGCCCAAGGTTTGGCATTCCCATCCTTCTCTTACTTGCTGCTGATCCTTGAACCTAACTTCGAGTGGCACCGATCTAGAGGACTGGATGCAGCACTAAGCTTCAGTATTTCTCTGGAATCCTGAGAGAAGGGTTAAGAGAAGAATGGTAGACTCCGCAGTAACAGAGTGAAATAAAAGGTGCACACAGGGGCAGACTAGGAACTAAGAATAAATTATCTCAATTTCTTTTGAGGTACAAAACCATTGAAAGAGAGACTGAATGGGGATAAAGACAGAGGAAAGTTGAATGACAGATCAATGAAAGAATGAAATAGATTTGATTACCTTTGGTGCCAGGAAGATTACATGCAACAGCCACCTTCTTACGTTGAAATTCCTTTAATTTCACAATACTGTCTGTAAGTAGGTATCTTTTAGCTAAAAATCAGAGAAAGTAAAATCATTTTGATTTTATATGATTTTAAAATCATTTTGTTTATTTTACACTTAGCAAATAACATGTGTAGAGTTTGACCGTCTCTTTCTAATAACTGATCTGATCTTCACTTAGTATAAATAATCCAACTGCTGCTGCTGCTGCTAAGTCGCTTCAGTCGTGTCCAACTCTGTGTGACCCCATAGACAGCAGCCCACCAGGCTCCCCCATCCCTGGGATTCTCCAGGCAAGAATACTGGAGTGGGTTGCCATTTCCTTCTTCAATGCATGAAAGTGAAAAGTGAAACTGAAGTCGCTCAGTCGTGTCAGACTCTTGAGGACCCCATGGACTGCAGCCTACCAGGTTCCTCCATTCATGGGATTTTCCAGGCAAGAGCACTGGAGTGGGGTGCCATTGCCTTCTCAGAGAAATAATCCAACTAGACTGGTACAATTATAACAGTCATCCTCATAGAGAAAAAATATTCCCAAACTACCAAAGAATGCAAATCCTCCACGAGGCTTGTCTGTGTGTGTGAAAGGAGCTAATGATTGTGTATGGGACAGTAGACAAGAATCTGGACTGCAAAAGACAGATAACAAAACAGATATATCCAGATTTGGTTTAAACAGGTAGAAGCATATAGGATAGAAGAAGTAGCTATAGTGTGACCACTAGAATTCCCAGTATTGTCCTTTTTGAAATAAGCTGTGACCTCTCAGATTTGGACTCTCAATATACACTAGATACATCAGGATTCACTCACCACAACTTAGCAGAAATGAAGAGTTTTGGAAACATTATTTCTTTAAGATGCTGGGTTATGCATGAACTGGAACATGGCCAAAGAATCGTCCACTATAAGAACTCTGTGTACAACAGTAACAGTGTAACAACAAAAATTGCTGCTGATTTCTATAAAGGTGAGCAGTGGTTACAGCAGGACTGCCTTCTGTTCAACTCTTCCTTTGCCAGTTTCCTGGAGCCTTGGCAAATTACTTAGCATCCTTCTTTGTTAATGAGGGCTTCCCTGGTGGCTCAGAGGGTAAAGTGTCTGCCTGCAACGCGGGAGACCTGGGTTCGATCTGTGGGTCAGGAAAACCATGGCAACCCACTCCAGTACTCTTGCCTGGAAAATATGGGCGGAGAAGCCTAGTAGGCTACAGTCCATGTGGTCACAAAGAGTCGGACACGACTGAGCGACTTCACTTTCTTTCTTTCGTTAATGAAGAAGAGAACAGTACCTCTCTCACTAGGTCGTATGAGGAGAAAAGGAAAGAATGTATGTAAAATATAGTAAAGCCTGACACAAATTGTTAAATCTTTTATTATCATTCGCCAGCACTGTCAAATTTAATCATTTCCACAAAGATATTAAGGGATAATTTTGTAAATAAAGAAAGCTGCTCAGAGTCTTTCAGATTGTTAGTTAGAGCTGGACTCTATAGTCTTAGACATCCTCCGCTCCCAAACTCTACAGAATAGTAGGCCCAATGCGGAGGGGGGAGTTCCTGGGAAGCAGCAGAGCTCCATCCGAGGAAATACTACAGCCCCAAGGTCAAGAACCAGCCCAGCTGTCCTTTGCTTCCCCGGCACACGGGCTTCCACGAAAGGCAGGGACCACCACTGCACCCAGGAGCAGAGGGCGAGGGATGCTCGGTTGCTTTCGGCCAGAGTGACTGGGGCGCTGTTATTTCTCCAAAGAGATGCCGACTGAGGTGTAAAGCTCCCTTCTGTCCCACCCATCCCCTACTTCAAGGCCCGAGGCCGCGGATACCTCCGAGAGGGCAGAGGCAGCAGGTAGAACCAGAGCCTCCCACCCAGGGACACACCAAACTCCGCAGCGCCTGCAGTAGAAAGACTTGCTTCGGGGGCCGAAAGGTAGCCGCCATGCTGTTCCGGGCCGCACCAACTGCGGGAGCCTGGGAGGGGGCGGAGCGTTGACCGTGACTCCACCCCTTCCTCTGCCCGCCTCCCCCGCACCAGCATTCCTTTTAGTATGCTCCAAGATGGCGGCCCCCGTGGTGCGGCGCGCGATCCTCCTGGCGCGGAATGTGTCGCTGCCTCAGCTCTCTCTGGCAGGTTAGTGTCTGCTGCTTTCGTGGGGCTGCTTCTTTAGGCCCACTGAGAACTCTGTTCCTTGAGTAAAAGGAGTAATGGACTTTTAAGGAAAGAAGAAACCATTGGAGGTGTTTGGTAGCACAGAATGGGGAGGTAAGGTCTCTGACCCATCTCCCTCCCTAAAATAGTGTCTTCTTATCCAGAGGTGTGAAGAGCAGAGCAAGTCCTGGTATGAGAACTTCTGCGGATTATTTGCCGCGTTTATGTGTTCGGGTGGTCTTTTTGCTGCCCCTGAAAAGCCCAGATATGACACCCCCACCCCCGCCCTCACTGGGGCTGTGAAATTTCTCTCGCTGTTGTTTCTTTAGAGGGGGGTCATAAACTTTCTCAACACCTGACGCGTGGCCAGACCCTGGTTTTCACTGGGTGGATGAATTTCTCGTTACTAATCTCAGTTTACCTGATGACCTTGGACACAATTTGGTTGACCTTTCTTTCGCCCAAGTTTTCCATTCAAACAGTAAATGCTAATAGTTTTGAAATACTTTGATATCTGAGTGAATGACGGCTCACTCGAAACCTGTTTAAAGGACCTGCTAATGAAGACATTGAGAAAAACTTTTTTTAATTTACAGAAGCTAAATCCTGACAGGTGTGTCTGATTATATGATTCGGCTACAGTAATCACCATTGGTTTTTCCAATACTTATTATCTACTCTTTCTAACGTACTTCCTCTAGACCCTATTCAAAAGAAACACATACAGTTTTTCTCCACACATAAACGTGAAACCTTATCCTAGGCCACCAGAAGTTTTCTGAGGATTAGCTGGTTGACCTAGCTAATGAAAATATTTCTTGCCATACTTTAGGTAAAGTTGTCTGCCCAGTACTTGTCACCTCAGTAAGGATTAGGGTTGTAGCTGTTTACTAGTGTGTTTACTTAGAGTTGTTACTAAATGCTTTTCAATTTAAACAAGACCTTGTATTGTTAATCAGGGAAAGTATCATAGTTGCTTGGAATGTTTGGGACCAGTCATCCTAAGGAGGGAATGGAAGTTAAATAAAGGTGAATTGAGACAATTTCCAGTTACCATTTTGATCTGTGATTGAAATGGTGAACTTGTGATCAGTTACACCTGTGTTATTCCCCTGTCGTGGCCTTGAGCTGTAGGTGGCTATTTCAGTTAGTTTAAATTTCAAAATTCTGTTCCTTAGTCACATTGGTGGTGGTGGTTTAGTCGCTAAGTCGTGTCCGACTTGAAACCCAATGGACTGTAGCCTGCTTGGCTCCTCTGTCCATGGGATTCTCCAGGCAAGGATACTGGAGTGGGTACAAGGGAAGCCCAACTTTAGCTACATTTTAAGTGCTCAGTAGAGACCTGTGGCTAGTAGCTACTGTAGTGGATAGCTCCTTTATTGCAGAAAGTTATATTACACAAAACTGGGTTAGACCACAGATGAAAGGAGTCTTGAAATCAGGAACTAGAGGCTATCAGGCAAGTAATATAAGATGTCATTGTTTGGTCAGTAAGTTGTGTCCAACTCTTTTGCGACCCTATGGACCGTAGCCTGCTAGGTTCCTCTGTCAATGGGATTTCCCAGGGAAGAAAAATGGAGTTGCCATTTCCTTCTCCAGGGGATCTTCCCAACTGAGGGATCAAACCTGTGTCTCCTGCATTGGCAGGCTGATTCTTTACCACTGAGCCACCAGGGAAACCCCAAAATAAAATGGTACATTATTGACCACTGGGGGTTTGAGAATGCTGAAAAGGAGCTTTACTTTAAGTCGTCAAAACATCTTAAACCATTAGAGGATAAAAGAGGAAAAAATTCATACACACTCATGACAAATCGGTATTTGGAATACGTTGGTACTTCCATCAGTTCTTCTTACAACAGATAAATAAAGGCAACTAAAATAATCCACAGGATGGAAGCAAGATTTATTGAGGTGAACCAAAAAAGGAGTTTCAGTATAAGTAGAGGCTACAGAAGGGAACTTACTGGGCACCTACTACATAGTGGACATTAGGCGAAGCACTTACTATTGTACATGTCCTCATTTAAATGATGATACAGTGTTTCCCCATTTTCCATATGAAGAAAAAGGCTAAGAGGCCTGGTGTAACTTGTCCAGATTTTCCTAATATTTATGGAAGGCTAGGATTCACATTGGAGAAGGAAATGGCAGCCCACTCCAGTGTTCTTGCCTGGAGAATCCCAGGGACGGGGGAGCTTGGTGGGCTGCCGCCTGTGGGGTCGCAGAGTCGGACACGACTGAAGTGACTTAGCAACAGCAGGATTCACATTTAGATTTTGTGACTCTAAAGCCTATCTTTAGAGTCACACTGCTTCCCTTTGGATGGGAAACATGTTTGGAGACATTTTACCAAAAGCCAAACTATACAAAAAATAAGTTTTTTATAAATAAGTACTTACTAAGCTTCAAAATCCTGGTCTTTGGAGGCAGAATTAAGTAGAGGAAATACTCATTTTTCAGTGGGTAGTTATCTTTGAATATTGTTGCTCTAAAAGTTGACTGCCTAAAGGGTAAGCAGGTTCAAGATGGGTTTATCTGCTTGGGTGGCATAGTTAGAGTGGGGTTAAATGGTCTCAGAGAGCTAAACTTGTGAGGCTGATACCATCCTATCCCCTTGCTACTTCATTGTTGTCTGAGGGTCAAAATCTTCATTACCTGGGAACTTTCAGAAATGCAGATTCTCTGTTCCCACCCCAGGCATGCTGAATCAGAGTCTTCATTTAATTGAGATTCATATGCACATTAAAGTTGGAGAAGCTGATCTAAATTTTCCATTTTCATTGTCCACTCAACATTCTTCCTGACTTCATAGAAATTCTTTCTGTTTTTGTTTTTTTATTCTTTCTGGTTTTAATATTAATATACAGACCTCTCAACTGCCAACTATGTCAGAAAGATGAATATCCTGATTTAAAAGGTTTACAGAAAATCGAATGTCTGTCTTAAGGTAGAGTAATTTCCTATTGCTGCTGTAACAAATTACCACAAATTTGGTGGTATATAGATTTATTACCTTACTGTTCTGTATGTCAGAAGTCTGATACAGAGTCTTAACTGTGCTAAAATCAATCAAGGTTTTGAAAGGGATGTATTCCCTTCAGAAATCTTTAGGGGTGAGTCTGTTTTTCTAGCCTTTTCCATCTTCTGGAAACCACCTGCATTCCTTGGCTGATGGCCTGTTTCTCAAACGTCTTCAAAATGAGCAGTGGCAAGTCAGGTCCTTCTCATGTCACTCTGCCTTTCATGCACCACACTAACAAAGTGTCTCCCTCTTCTACTTTAAAGGACCTGTGATTACTTTGAATCCACCTGGGTACTTCCTTGGCCATCTAGTGGTTAAGACTCTGCTTTCAGTGCAGGGGGCACAGGTTTAATCCCTGGTTGAGGAACTAAGATCCCACGTGCCCCGAGGTATGGCTAAAAAAACAAAAACATTGAGTCCACCTGTATAACCCTGGACAGTCTCCTCACTTTACGATCAGCTGATGTGCTGATCTTAATTCCATGTTGTTGTTATTTAGTTGCTAAGTCATCTCCAACTTTTTTGCGACCCCATGGACTGCAACCCACCAGGCTCCTCTGTCCATGGAATTTCCCAAGCAAGAATACTGGAATGGGTTGCCTTTTCCTTCTCCAGGGGATCTTCCTGATCCGGGGATTGAATTCTCTTGTCTGTTGCATTGCAGGTGGACAATTTACTGCCGAGCCACCTGAGAAGCGATCTTAATTCCATCTGTCACCTTAATCCCCCATTGCCATGTATCCTAACATTCACAGGTTCTGGGGATTAGGACATGGACATTTTGGGGGGAGACATTATTCTGCCTACAACACTGGATAACTCATTACTCTGTTTGCCATTGGTTTCTATTAGGAAAATTTTCCACTTGCCAAGTTTAATTTCTTTATCCTTATACCCATTTCCTTTCATTCTGTCCTCAATGGAGATAGGAAATGATGTGTGCTTAGTCACTCAGACAAGAATACTGGAGTGGGTTGCCATACCCTCCTCCAGGGGATCTTCCCAATCCAGGGATCAAACCCAGATCTCCCACATTGCAGGTGGATTCTTTACCATCTGAGCCACCAGGGATGGTAAGCAAGCAGTTAAAATTCATGTATTTGAAAGTTACTGGGCTTATGTTTTATAAATTTACTAGTCCTAATTTATTTTGTTTTCAGTCATGTGATCCTCTTGAACAACCACACACAGGACATTCTGGGACTCCTGTCTTTCCCCACCGTCACCTCCCTGCTTTATGTCTCCCAGACCAAAATCATTAACATAGTTCTAGATGATTGGTTTTTTCTGACTTTAGAATAAGGAGGGCTGATGTCTTATGCTAGAATAAAACATATGTTAGGAGAAGAAATGGAGAATAAGAAAGAAAATGTAATAACAAGTAGAGAATATGTAAGTCACTGGTGTCCTGGAATATATAGCTTAACAGTCCCCTCCTTGGGCTTTCTTTCACCTCTCTTCTTTTCACAGCTATTTGTAAGGCCTCCTCAGACAACCATTTTGCCTTTTTGCATTTCTTTTTCTTGGGGATGGTCTTGATCACTGCCTCCTGTACAATATCACGAACCTCTGTCCATAGTTCTTCAGGCACTCTAACAGATCTAATCCCTTGAATCTATTTGTCACTTCCACTGTATAATTGTAAGGGATTTGATTAAGGTCATACCTGAATGGTCTAGTGACTCCCTACTTTCTTCAGTTTAAGTCTGTTAAACTTCAATTTAAGGCCTTACAAATAGCTGTGAAAAGAAGAGAAGCGAAAGGCAAAGGAGAAAAGGAAAGATATACCCATTTGAATGCAGAGTTCCAAAGAACAGCCAGGAGCAAAAAGAAAGCCATCCTCAGCAATCAATGCAAAGAAATACAGGAAAACAATAGAATGGGAAAGACTAGAGATCTCCTCAAGAAAATTAGAGATACCAAGGGAACATTTCATGCAAAGATGGACACAATAAAG